CAACACAATCGTTCTGACCACCCCGTAGCATGTCGGCAATTACCCGCCATTGTCCCGGCTGGCCATCCTTCCCGACCACAAATAGAGGGGCATTGGTGAGGACGGTCAGCCCTTCATCGATGCTTCGAAGTACCCCAAGTTCAACAAGTTCGTCCACAAACTGGACAGCAGCCTCTAGCATTTCTTCATCCATTGGAGCGTTGGGTCGGAGGCAGGGATCTGGCTGTTTCAGGAAATTCTGGCGTGCCCCATTTCGTAGTTCCTCCCAGTGCTCGGACGGGAACTCCCACCATAAAAGTTGAAGTCGTTTGGGGTCCGGTCCCTCCGAGTTGTAGTTGTTCCGGTGGACGGCTAGTCGTTGGATGCCATCCCAGTAGATGTTGTCTGGTTCCGGATAATGGTCAGCGGCCCAGCGGAGGTTGGCAAGTCGTAGTGTGTGCCAGGGGCTACCCAAGGAAAGATCTGGGGGATGCCAATTGAACACATCGTTGTCAAGTGTGATGGTTGTTGCCCCGGACAAGTGGTCCCCGGTCTTTGTTCCCTGTGTCGTTTTCCCGGGTGCAGAAGTTGGGTGGCTGAATAAATGTTGTAGCGAGAAAGACAGGTATTCCCAATGGAAAAGTGATGTAGTTCGTTGGAGGCTCTTGTGTGACAGGTCATTTTCGCAGCCTTTGGGGATGCCCAGTCCCCGTGCAAGTTCTTCCTTCATGAGTCGTCGAACACCCTTCTCAGTTTTGATCCATGCCCCTATTTGATTAGGCATAGGGTCGTGTAGGGAGTGGGGTGTGTGTGCACTGCCAGATTGGGAGTAGGAGTTGCGCGGTACCAATCCCGGTGGCGTGAGGAGATTTCTCATAGGTCGGATCACAGAAAGATCTTGATCTAAACTGTCCCATGTCCATTGTGCCCGACAATCAATTCTTGTCCGAACCACCAGTAGCCGTTCTTGGGTGACGGCACGTCCTATTGCTGTTGCCTTGATAGTACGGCAATTGATATTGTAGCCAGCTTCTCTCCATCTAGTAGTTGTAGGTTTGCTTGTTGGTCCGTACTGCCACAAAGTTGGGTCCGAGCGCCAGGATTCAATG